GATTGTAAAAATATGATATGCTATATATAAATATTATTTTATATTTATGAGATGTATGTTATTTAAACAATTATATATATAATATAACACGAAAGTAGTACTTACAGCAAATATCAGGGTTCTAACTAAGCATATTTGGTTCACAATAAAAAGTTAATTATAGGCTGCGGGCAGTGTTTTAATAATTTAAAAAGCCTTATATTGTATTGTATATATGTATATAATATATAACACGATCTTTTTTAAATTATTACTTTTATTATATATTATTACATATTCATATATACTCATATATATAAAGCAACAATACAGAAACGTGGAAAATCTAGATGAAAATAAAGATTTAATTTTATTATACATATATAAAGAGATCTTTATCAATAACGATTACAAGTATCGGTTAATATCGAATATATAAAATATTTTATAATTCATGGTTCCAAAAGAAATAACAATTCTTCATTTAGCGATTTCCTAATATTTTTTAAAATTTACACCACCATTCATAAGACACGAGATACAGTTAGCACATTTAAGATAGACATAAGTAAATACATCATAATTAGAAATTGATGTTACTAAGTATCACCTATTAAATATTATAAAAGATATCTTAATAAATATATAGATATAATATATTTCTATATATTTAGATATTCTATATATTTATGTTGTTATAGATAGCTTAATAAAAGCTTATGTTAAAAATTAGCACGTATCTCATGATTTATGTCCGATAACGTATCTCATTTTTCATAAGTGTTCCAATACCTATAAATGAGGATGTAAATTTTCTTAATTAGGTTTATTTGACGTTTATTGGATGGCATTCCTAGCTCCGCGGCAGTCAGGTGAATTGTGTCATATGGAAATTCACCGCGCGTTTCAGCACAACAATGAATTATAATATATCAGACGAATATTAAGCACTTACATATGTACGTAGCTTCTACGTCTGTATATGAGAAAGCTTATCTGGAATTGATGTAAAAACAGAGCACGGAGAAGAGAGAAAAGTGAACAGGATAGTCAGAATGGATGAAAGAAAAAGAGAAAACTAGAGAAAGAGAACGGCTGAAAACAGTAGGAAAAGGTTTTTACGAGAGTATAAAAGAAGACGGAAAAAGGAAGAAAGGAGACAAGTCTAGAGCATCCAAGACAAATAGAAAACTGTTTTCTTTTTCCTATTCTCTGTTTATACGAGATTTTAATTTTATCTTAATTTCAATAATAAATTGACGAAAAGATGCGGAGATTACTAGTCAGAAATGAAAAAACACAAACTTTGCATTGAATTCTGAGAAACGTTTAATGGTACAATAACTATGATTAATAGGGTTTCTTAGATCAATATGGACAAGGACATAACCGCGGAGAAGTAAAAGATACGCATTGATGAATGCAATCACATGATAGACAGTAAATTATTTAAATGCACTTAGGAATTGTTGGGAATATGAACGACTGTCGTATTGCAATATGTATTAAGTAACCCAGATGACAGAATCTACAAAACATTTAAGAATATACTAAATCATAAAGAATTCAACAGATATTTGTAAAATTTTAACGAAGTTACATTACCCTGTTTTATTAATAGGTTAATTGGTTGTTAGTAGGTTCCGAACGTTTTGTTTCTAACATTTTTTATTATTTTTTAATTTTATTATTTTATTTTATTTTTATATAATTTTATAATTTTATAATTTTAGTAACATAGGATATTATTTTAAAAGTAAATGTCTAATCGTTCGACTTTTAAACATTTCTTTATTATGTATTTATGATTGTGCTAGAAGATTTTCTTTTATTATTGTTTCGTGATTTATAAAAATACTTATATTGTACCTGTAAACTCACTATTCGTTGTTCATCTTAATCATCTAAATCAGCATAAAAGTTTAATTAATAATGAGAATTTAATTTACGTGTATAAAAATCACTCGATTTCTTCATTAGGCTTTAGATAAATCTGACAACATTTGTGAAATGTAATATTGTTTAAAAATACTATTATATATATTTTCAAATTTCATTTTAATCGTTTAAGCGACGAGTCTATTATGATAAATTAAATAATGGATATTTCATTACAAAAATTTATTACTATCCTGCTAAAGATATAAGTGCAAAAGAATATTTTGAACTACTTACTGCTAGTATCTAGAAACGTCTAATAGTAAGAAAAATCAGATTTCTTAACCTGTAGTGTCATAATTGCTTTTAAACATATTGCTGTAACAGGTAATAAAACGTAAACTATATGTGTTCAATAACATCCTTGGAAATTATGACATAAATATTAAGTGATCAAGATGTTTATTATACTACTATCAACAAGTGTGAAAAATTAATATGACAATGATTATAACTGATTATTCAACTTTTCTCTACTGTGAACAGTGTCTCTTCTTAAACACGCAGAAAGCTATGAAATGTTCTCATACATTTTAAGTAATATCACCAATAAATAATACTTTCGTAAAAAGAATAATTTGAAAAAAGGAAAAAAATTATAAATAGTAAAAATAAAGTAAAACTCTCTACAATTTCAATTGAATGAAACAGAAGTCTGGACACTGATTAGCTAACATGCTGTAGCATGCAAACTTCCCGTCGCTTGTCCGATGCAATCATGAGGTTTCGGTTCAAGGGTGCACCATGTAAATACGCAGCGAAGAAAAAATGAAAAAGAACGAGAATGATCGAACACAGTGACTCGATGACATACGCCGAGAGCCGGAGTCTTTAAGGTGCAAGGTCGATTTACGCTGGCAATTGTGGTTGACATTGCATCGGCGTGATCCGCAGTTGAATGCGATTTCGCTCGACCGTGTATCGATCATTTCGCTTGGCGTCCATTGAAACGTACGTCATAATTACAATTCGAGTATAAACGAAAATAGAATGCGAAAATAGAATTTTATATCGGAGAAATGTATCCTTTGGCTGTAAATTATAATAGTCCAAGAAAGTTGAAACGTTACTACAATCGGATTAAAAATGTGAACTTTTTCACAGAAACCTACAATTTTATCTTTTCACATTCGATGTTACGTAACATTATACTTTAAAAAGTTATTGACTGTTTAAATGATAGATGTATTTGTTTTTAATAAAATTAGTTTTTCTCATATTTTAGTGCATTATGTCTTTTTAGAAAAAATTACTTAAGAAACTATAGTTTCTGTTATTAGTAATATTATAAAAAACAACATTTTTTTTAAACTCGTAAGAAACCTGATTTTGGAAGAGTTAAATAAAATACTTAGTGTTGCAAATGTTTCTTCCAAAAATGGGTTGAGTACAGGAAACGATATTAAATAATATGTACTCCAGCTCGTTCATCTATTTACCAAGTTTTACAAAATTCTAATCTGAAAATTTAAGACACTACCAAAAAATTCATGTACTTTGCTCATGCAAGTTTTGTAAATGCTTGTATATATAGCTGAAATAAAATTTGTGTGGCATTTGAGATATTTAATTTAAAAAATAATATTCGTATTTATTTAGGCTTTGTTATGAATTTTAAAATCTTCATAAATGTACATAACAATATATTTTAATGGTTAGAGACACGTGGTTAAAGATTTTCCCATTAAAGTTTTACTTTATTGTCAGTTTGAGGGCTTCAAATAATGACGTGTAATTGTCATCCATACTCTTCATAAGCTTGGCCATTTAATATAATAGTAATCACATGTGACATAATTCGCAATTATTATTCGTTTACCTTATACCTTATAGATAAGATTAGATACCTTACCTTACCTTATACCTTATTACCTTATACATAGATATAGATAACATAAGATTCAAAAAAAAAAAAGAAAATGAGAAACGTAGAAGTGAAGTGTAAAATATGGAATATTTTATGAAATAATCGTTTATTTCTAATTTATCTATTTTGCAAACTCTCATTAAAGAAGTTTATTTCCGTTAATGTGTACGCAGTTTGGAAAAATCTTTTGGAAAGTAGCTCGATCATAATTTTCCATTTTGTTAACAAACTTGTTACATGGATACATTGAATTTAGCATTGATAACTTCTACTTTATAATTTATAAGATTTCATTAGTAATATTTAATAATATTAGTTTAATGGTAAAAAGAAGGACCTAGTCATTGATCAAGTGGCAGTATAATTACAAAGGTGGTTACAATTTCATTGTAAAGGTAACTATATTAACACTCTAATCGTAAAATTTAATCGCAAAAATAATTAACACAGTATTAATATTCTTAGCGTATACAATGATTTTATTCAAATTGTATATCGTAAATTAATCATGATATTATACTAGCTCATTGTTTTTTCTCTTCATCACATCTAATATAGTAGCATTCTAGGTTAGAATTTAAATGCATAAACCAATCCACTACTGTTATAATTATTCTTCGAAATAATAAATTTTAGCTTTTTGGTATCATAATTGGCATACAAAATTATTTTTGAATTCGTAAATATTTCACTGATCTAGAATAAAAATAATATTATGTATCTCTTTGCAATTTTTTATTACTAATCTTAAACGACCTTAACATTTTCGTGTTGCAAGGTTATAATGCATTATTGTAGATTCTTGTACTCTACAAAAATATACTCAATGTTCTTGGATCAAAGAAAGGAAACCTTGAAATAAGCATATGCTGTGTTTTAACAGTTGTTAACATTTTATTAAACATCCATTAGGCCGATACGAAAATTTAAATTTTTTCCTGGATGTGATGTTAACAAGCGAGTTTAACTTTAGGGTTTTGAAATTCATAACGGTGCTCTAACACTATATGTATGTCATAAAACGGTTGAATTAAAATACAGAATAAAATCTTGTGTATATCCCTTCCTCCAACACAGATATCCAAAATCTATTAATATTATTACATATATAATTACTACCTTAAATAGTACTTGTATATGGAGCACTTCACATTAACATTGCGACGCTTTTTATTACACAATAACTCTTTTAATATTGGACCAAACATGTCTTGAGTCTTTTATATAAGTTATACGATTTAGTGTATTAGGTGACGCGTAAACAAACATTTTGAAAAATTGCAACTAGTCGGAATCGCGAAGAAAATAGTGGAGATCGCTTTTTACGATTTTTTAATTTGAACCTATGAAGAAAATTGATACAATATGTTTTGTAGATTTATGTCAATTATGTACATGCTAAAAATTTTATCGAAGTCAATTAAAAAAATTGGTTAAAAGAATTGTAAAAATCACAGTTATTCGCGACTTTCAGCCTATAATTATAATAAATCTAAAGATTCTTAACTTAGTTCAGATTAATAATCTTTCCATAGACAAAAGTTATAATTTTGTTATTTACGAGTAGAAATCTTAGCTAGGCAACAATCTGAAATAGAAAAGTTGGGAAGGAAGGAAGTCTAGATAGTTTAATTCGTAGTGTGAAGATCTGATAAGTAAAAGTTCTGGGTTCAAATCTTAGTCAAGAAATGCCGCGAGTTCATGTCTTTCCTTGGTACTCCAAATTTTAATTAGAACACGGAATGCTTGAAATCCTGTTTCACTCAATAATGAACGGCGTATCATGAATTTACAGGAATGCCAAGTGAGAACGAATGGACGTGAATTATGGAACTAAGGGATAATTTTAAAGTTATCTGATCTTGCCTTTGTACTTCGTCAAAATGAATCGGAAACAAAAAATGCTTCTAATTATTTGGAAATAATCATTAGTTCTGGTAGTACTTGTTAGAAATATACGAAATTTATAATCATTTTAATTAATTTTATATAAACTAAAAATTATAACGGCCAATAATATAAAAATTAAAATAATTGGAAGGATATCATCTAAATGTACCACTCCCATTCAATGAATACGAAATAGTTGTTGAAAGAATATTTGGCACTATTTTCATCTAATTCTATAGGATGAAAACTACTTTCGAGATTGAAAAATAGATTACATTTTTCAGAACATCTAAATGTACTTACTTGAAACTATATCTTCAATCTGAATTATATTGAAATCATTTTTTTTCTGGAATAAGTTACGAACTAAGAGATGCAAAGATATGTTTTCTGTTATAATTGTATATTGTTGAATAGAGAATGAAATTACATAAAACATGTAGAATTATTTAGTAATTTTTCTTGCTATATATTAATCCATTTCTCCATATAAACTATATGTATATATTGTAATTGTATAGGTGAATTGAAGTGAAGTAGACGTGTTACTAGAATAATTTTTGTTATATTAGAAATATCGCCTCACAAAATACAGATGGTAGTACAGATGTAGTTTACAAACTATAAATAGTGTGGTCGGAGCAATATTTTCCAACTTTGTATTGAAAAATAAATTTACTAACAAGGCGTGTACAAATATCAAAAAGAAAAAATTTTATTAGAATTTGTATTTTATATTATTCGTCAAATTCCTTACTTCTTGCAATATTTTAAAAAAATGTTTAAACATAATAACCAAATTATGTGAAAATTACGTCAAATACCTTGATTCAATTTAACAAATATTATTTTACGAACTCCAAAATAAATGAATTAATTTGTTATCAATAAAAACTACTAATTCAAATAAAAGTCACGTAAATATTAAAAAATGATTTAAAAAGATTAATAAAAAGCAATTGTAGAATTTTGCTTAGTTAATTTTTCTTATTATAATCAATATTACTCTATTATTAATATACATATATACTGTATGTATAAATGTCTTAATGTACAAATGTCTTCTGTTACATTATGCACCAATAAAAATTAACGAATTTACCTGTTGAAGTTTGTCAATGATTATCAGGGATTCCAGGTACCTAATATGTCATTTACGTCAAATATACTTCGCAGGAAGAAACATACATTAGTAACGTTTACGAAGCGCTAATATTTTCCCAATTATATATATGGAGCATAATAATAAGAGTGAAATTTAAAAATTTGCCGTGTATGATGAAATTGCATCATCAAAAGCTATCGGTAAAATTCACGAGGTTGTTGAGTAGTATGTATGTGCCAAAATTTAATTAGATTGCAAATTCTAGATGATTACATAAAAGTATGAAATATTATATGAAAATAAAGGAATATATGTATTAACATGGATGTTTTTCTTTTTAAAAGTGACAACAGAATAAACATTTAATATACATTTTAAACATTTTATATACATTTTATACATTTAGAATATTATGAAATTAGCTCCGTTTTGGAAGAAACCTATAAAGAAAAAAGAAAGAAATACGAAAATAATTTGATGGCTGACATTTCAAATATCAAATATATTTTATGAATTGTCAATAAATAAATTATAAATAAAATGTGGATATTTACTTATAAATATATTTGCTAACTAATAATAAATGTCTGAAAATTCGGGCCTTAGCTGAAAAGCCGGGCTTAGACCCGTAGATTCTTATACCTTTAAAATGATTTTAAGAATATTGTAGACCAACATCTACATTTTTCATTAGAAGTGTAATTATTATTTTCATATTAATAAGGAATATCATTATCCTATACATATTGCACATAGGTACATAACAAGTCAGAGATAATGTACATTATTCAATTATTAATTAGTTAAATGATAAACGTATTCGTTTTCAATAGAATAGCTCTAATCTAAAAAAATTTCTTTATAAAAATGTCACGAAAAGATATGTTTCCATTTTTAATAATTAATAAAAGGAAGACTTTTCTCGCAATCTAAATATTTATTTAATCTTCGATACTAAAGGAACTAAATTGTAGTAAAATGTAACGAAAGCTGTTAATTTTAACTAAAAGATTATCAATTTCGTTCAATATTAGCAGAAAATTATATTATGTTATGCAGCGGAAAAATAATAAAAATCATTACTTTTATTCAAACAGAGCTCAGAATTAAAGTTATTCCACTCTACTGTGACATGCAAAATTAATTAATCAATTAAATTCCTACAAACATCATTGTATTAAATACAATCTATCTTCAAACATACTAATATTGATTAGTATCGTTTCCTGTCACGAACATTCAGAATTCTCCTTCAGTATTAATTGATCGATGAACATGTATCAGATACACGGAAGGACAAGAATTACACGCACTGATTTGACGTGCAGGCTGGCCCATCAATGTAAACTCATAACTGCTAATTCCACACCAATTTATCCTTTCCGAATGACTGCAACTGTAATTACAATTTCTCAACAACGTATGAGTCGAGTGAATTCACAAATCAGTTTCTCTAGGAGGCGCTGCTTATCGTTATAGGATCACCATTTCAATAATCAGGCTCAATGTATGTATAAACCATATAATTTCTATGTACATAGAAATTATACGTCCGAGAGACTTTTTTTATTTGAGTAATTTGTCTATTCGATCGTAAATATAACATGAATTGACACAAATGACTTAGAATTTAATATATTAAATGACTTGAATTAGATATATTATATTAATTGAAATTTGCCCATTTCAAATGTAGAAAATAAAGAACACTTTCCGAATATTTAGCGAGTAGGTGATCTAGGAAACTAAGCGTATTAGAATTCCGTTCCGGAATGGATTACGGAGTTTGTCAATAAAATGAACGAAAATATGAATGTTTCTCGTTTTCTAAATTAAATAATTAATATGGGTTAATTGTATAACATAACAATATTTTGGATTAAGTTTCAGTTAATTTTGGCACATATTTTTTATTATTTAGGTAACTCATATCAAATTGAATAACATTTGCTTGAATCACACCTCTTATTCAGAATAAGAAGAAATTTCGTAGCCTCATCACTCATCAATCACTCATATCTATTGATCTACGATTTATATTTTTATGATAGAAACTTATTGTTAGATAGAATTGAAATAGAAGAGAATTGTTCTCTGAAAAGACCTACTCACGACTATGCAAATATTATACATAAATAAAAAAATATATATAAATATATATATAAATATTAGCATAAAAAAAAAGAGATAAGGATTGACCAACAATTAACTTTTCTTAAAAAGAAAACATGTTATGTATCAATGAGTGTTAAAAGCAGACAATTTAAATTTGGGCAATGAACGAGAAAGCCAAAGTCGCTCGTTCTTAGTACTATCGTGAATAAAATCAAATGTATCAGTAACGCTACTCGACCTGCTTTTCGTACAGCTGTTTCTATTTCTTCTCCCCTTATGACTACTTTTCAACTTTCTTGTCAAAGTAACACGGGGCGCGGTAGGAAGATGTCGCAAATGTACAATATCAGCTCTTAGCCATCTACTCCAATTCTAATTACAATAAATCCGATTTTAATTACGTGACCGACCAGACTGTGTAGTCGGGTCCACGTAGAGGGAATAAGCGAACAAGAGAGTCGAGAATGAGAAAAAAGAACTTCGTACTTGTCTAATGGACAGCTGGAGAAAAGAAAAGAAGGGAAAATTTTACAAAAGAGGAGATCTTTGCACAAATCGTTTCGTGGAAATTAAGTTTCCTTTATATTTCTCTTTTGTAAACGAATTTCGTGGGAATATAATCTAATATCTATATGTAGAAATGTTATATTATAAATTAACAGAAAAGACAGTATAATAAACACAATATCGTTGCACTCTCACAAAATCGAATATAATATCGCGTTTCATGAATTCGCTTCTCACTAATTCTACGTCACAGCAACACGATGAACTTCTCTCGACCACGATTAATTTAACTCTGACAGCATATACCACGCTCATTTTTCCCTTAACAAACCTTGGTAACGCTCACAACACTCCTTGACAATATTAACATATCTTGACAACGTTTATGAACAGTCAGCCACGTCTTTCCCTGATGACACACCATCCCACATATATATGCATATTTACTTAGGATGGTAGAAAACGCGTAGAATAGTCGATTCCGCTCGCCCGATTTGGCTATTTTACAAAGAATACTCGAATATATTAGGCGTCGCAGTCGTGAAATCATTGAAACCCGCTAACCTGTGACGTAGCAAACAGAATGGTATAATTTATGACAACCTCAAGTGTCTTCGCTATCTTCTCCCTAGAACCGGGAATGGCGAAATCTGGGCGATCGCTAGAGTGTTTGAAACCTTGTTTTCTTACACTTTGGCGTTTCAGATTTATATTTATAACTGTGTATATGTGTTTAAACTGCTAAAGGTTTTTGAAAAATTATTAAAGTATTGAAATGGTAAACGATTTAATTTTTTTATCATATTTACAATATGTGTAGATGTATATTTGGCAAATTAATCGAGTAGAGGTATAAGTACCAAGAAATGAAAACTTGATGTTTTTCATAGGAAAGAATTTAATTTCACGCGAAAAATCTTATTAATTTCTCAAAGGTAATGTTAAGTGCCAGAATCTTTAAGAGATGACATATTAAATATTATAAAATATTACTATACATGCCAGAATAATTTATTTTAGATTTGAAGGCTATCGTAAGACTAGAAATCCACTGAGATTAAGCCAAACCAAGCTAAGTCAGTCTAAGCTGTGTTACGCTAAATTGCCACAGTTCTCAACACAAATCCTTTACTACATCACTATACTTATCCACTATATATCTGTTTCAAAAAAGATATTTCACAATAAGCAACTGATCGGGAGGTGTGTTCCTTTTGGTTTGTAAGAGCAGGCAAAAACTGCCTCATCCTTGAGAAAGGGTCCTGAGGGTCTGATGCGTGATACGCACGGACCGCCAGAGTCATTACAATCGCAGCAAATGGCCCATTGTAATAAAAACAACAACTTGATCTGGAGCTTTCTAACTTATGAATCATGGATCACAATTATATAAATTATTTAGTATATACAATTAGAATCTGCTACCTGTTACTTATTTGTATATTTATTAAATTTACTTTTTTGTAGATTAAAATATTTAGTGATTAAATAAAAACAAACTATTTTTTAGATGCTCGAATAATAGTCAAAAAACAAAAAATGTTTTAGATATATTAAAAAACATAAATAAAATCATTAAATTTTACATTTCTATCAAATATTGATAACCAAACACGTGTACATTTTCATCATTATGATATTATTTATCAATATGATATGTTAGTTGTGTATTTATTGTTTATGCTTCTTTTTATTCGTCATCCGAATAAATTTTGCTTGCAATCGCAACAAGCTTATAAACTGATAATTAACAAGTAAAAACAGTAATATGATGAACAGCAGATAGTGACATGAACTAGGTGTGTGGAGGGGGAAAGACCGCTTGATGGACCCTTGTGAGGTCTCTGAAAAATTGTTCATAGCAATTCCGTGATAATCCCAGCTAACTGGGTCTTCAAAAGACTTGAACTTGGCTTCAGTAGGAACCGTCCCATGTACTTGTACAGAATCAACTTTTCAAATAGTTGGACCAGTTTAGCTTGCCAATGGAAACGGTTCCATTTAAATACATTGAAACAAATTCCCTTGAAATGGCTTAGCCTGTCAGAAAATCTCTAGTAAGATAAAGTAAGATAAAGTAAGATAAAGATATTCAAAAAGTATCTACTTGAATTGCAGTGACCAAAAGTCAAACAATTTGATTAATCAGGATGAACATAGAAATTTGAAAGGATACTTCACGTTATACTAATACAGTGATTTCAAATTGCTTGAATTCAGGTAATTTTGACTCATGTAAACTGTAAACAAAAATGTAAACATAGTGTAAAATTAATAAACATTTATAAAGCTAGTGTAGTATCATGGATGAGAGGCCTGGGAGGTGTTGTGCGGATTATAAACAAGCGGTTGCTGAGCATGTACGTAGTGAGGCTAAGACAAAAGACAAGGGTCTGCTAGGGAACAATAAACGAATTAACAGCAGTACGAGTTGAGACGTCAGAGTGTGCAGATTGCGTTGATGAGAGTCGTCGATTAATTACTTAGTTGTGTTAATCATTATACGTCTGCTGTGATTAGTTCATCTTTAACAAACATTGTTTTCTGTTCAATTAACATCTGTTCAATCTACTTATCATTAATAAACTAACTATAGTAGTTACGATACTACACTCGAATATAACTACGAATCACGAGATATATGCCTTGTACAATTATCGAAGAAGATAAACGTTAAAAAATACATCTAGCGACGCAAATATTTAGTTTCATTGACAAATTTTATAAGAATACTCAACAGGGTATCTCCATTCAGAGCTCTCGATTTTAGAGAATTTATAGGATAAAAACCTTTTAGGTCATTTTATAGATTCACGGAGGGGGCTCGTGATGTCATGCTTATGAGCGGTTCCAGGGCCCCTTCCGCCATGCGCCAAGTACGGCCACCGTGGAAGTTTTAGCCTTTATGAAGGTTTTCTCGACGAAAAAAAAAAAAGAAATTATTATTTTGTAGATCAGGGGTTTTGAAATTTTATATATATGTTTATGTATTCATGTATTTGTTTGTGTTTCAAGATAATACCGTGTAATTTTAATGAAATTATTATTATTATATATTTATTTTATCATATTATACATAGATTATTATATATTTTTTGTATATCATTTTTAATAGCTGTGATGATTTAGTTGTTGTATACATCTGACAAAAAATCGAAGATGGTCCTGATCTATGTGAAAGCGATTATCCTGTAAACTAGAATGGAGCAAAATAAAATTTCTTTAACAAAATGACAGCTATATACTGCAGAAGTTCATTAAATTTGTAACTTCTACAGGCGAAAAGAAAGAAGTCATTGTCGACATTAACATAATTCTAGTTCACATAAAGAGACATCTATTTGATATGTCTGTAAAATTTGAAAAACATTTATCGATTCGTTATTGAGATATCATGGCAGTCAATTTGAGAAGCATGGTTTGGAAAAAATTGCGTCCAAATTTTGTGTCCTGTTTCGGCATGTGTAACTCAAAATTAACTGACTTTTTCTCTTATGATCATTTACACTGTGTAAAACATCACACATGCGTTCTTATTACCTTATACATGCATGCACACGAGATAAAGTACATCTCCCCATGCATTCTAGTGCCTCGTCTACACTAACAGATATTGTTCGCTGACAGCCGCCAAAAGATGTATGTAGACTGTCTGCAGGCAATGTCATTTGTCTATTAGGAGTGTACCAAGAACCCTAATATACTAGTAGTGTCGATGAGTTGAGGATGTGTTGGAGATGAACATACAGATTGTTGAAATCTATCTTCGTAGAAATATGATCATCATCAAACGAACGGCCCCTCTAAAATACGAAGAAAAGTACTTTCAACTTTTTAAATCCTGATATTTAAGCAATAAATACATACATCCATTTTTGCAGTCGGTTATCTAAATATAAACAATTAATATTATGATGACGACAAAGTCTTGTGCTATGAAATACTACACGTATATATGGTTGTCAATATTTAACAGAAACTCAAAATGTAATGATTCTGTCTATGTTTTTCAACCCTTACAAAAATTTTTTCTTCAATTTTCATCTCTCTCTAATTAATAGTTTATCGACATAAATACATAGGTTAATAACTTTTTATTAAAAAAATGTCGTGACATATTGACCAATGTATTAAAAAATGTATAGTTCGATTAAGAAAAATGAAGTTGCCCTTTGTGCGATTTCCGAATAATTTTGTACGACATATCCATCGAGAGATGGTACTTTACAGTGACTTCGACAACATTTTTAAATTTTCTACTTCCGCCTTTTCTTGCCTCAATAGCAAATACCGTGTCATAAATCTTATCATCGCACAGCGGGATCGTTACATCCCAAATGGGGTAAAAAACACATTCCATTTGCTCACAGACGTCGTCTTCTGTTTTCCATTCCAATGAAAAAGCAAATTACTTGTCCGCGGGCGCGTATTTTACGAGAATTTCCCCGGACGACGCATATCTGCTGACAATTGTCTGTCAGTGTGGACGTGGATTTTATCCACGAACTGTGTTTAGACTTGAATTTTGTTTGCGTCGTCTGCGGTTTTTCCATGAAAAACAGATGCCGATTGGCTACAACACCTGTCTGCAGACAATTGTTTGTCAGTTTGGAACTAGATTAAAAACCTACTATGTTTGGTAACTTGACACCGCATATCGTAGCAATGCACCGTATAAATCGTATTTAGTCCGGAATGGTGTATCGTACTCCTAGAATTGTCATTATTTTGTGATTTCCATGAATTTAAAAATTAAATTTTGAGGTGAAACTATAGAAACGTTAACTACTCTGCAATTTTGATGATCTTGGAATATATTGTAAAACTCGACATTTCGAATCTTTTCTATATAAATACATAACAGGTGAATTCGCTTAGTTTTCAAGATATTCACAAAAAATTGCCAATTACAATGTTTCATGCTTATAGATATATGCTTGTGGCAGCGTATGCATCAATGTTAGTTGCCGGCCGCTTTATCTTCTGTCTATAAACTAGGGTTGGGCGCGCGCCCAATAAATGTACACGCGCAAGACTGCAAGAGTCTACATTATATAAAGTTATCCAAAATATCGATTTCTACAAAATATCCAAAAATCATCGAAATCAGAGGATAGTTAATTTTTCTACTGTTTCGCCAATTTTGGGAAAACATTTTCAAGATGTTATACTTTAAGAAAATACAGTAAAAAGATCAATTTTTTGATCCCTCCAAATCGGAGTAGCCCCTTAAGAAAATAGAAAGTGAAACTTTAAAGTTTATAATTCATAGAAACAATAATTTACAAATGTTTATACCAATAAATGAACTAGATTGAATTGAAAATTATATAGCAAAATATTAAAACTTAGCGCGGCATGAAAGGCACGTGTAAGAAAGTGTGCGCGAATACGGATGAGAAGTACAAAGTGTGTAGGAAGTGATACGTGAGAATGCAAAATATACAAGCAGGTGTGCATGGTAATAGAGAGGTGGATGAGTTCAACTCATAATAAGTTCAACTCGTGAGAGATGAAGGATATGACAAGTTCAAGTTTCAGTTTGGGACCTGAGTTTCCTTATTTTATTAATAAAGTAAAATTCCAAAAATATGGCATATATATATATAACATAATATAATATAATATAACATATATACATGTTACATTCTTGGAATTTTACTTTGTTAATAAATATATATATATATGTTGAAATTATCCACTTTGAATCGACACACGTCATGATTAATTAATGGAATGAATGAATTTTGCTATCTTATTCCAGAAACAGAATCAATCAAAAAAAAAAAAGTGCAATTAGTGATAAAAGATAAATTAAGTGACTTTATCGATAATTTTTATACTAAATTAAATCAATATTTGTAAAAATCTACATAACTAACAAAACTACTAGAAATCTTCATTTCCCATACATTTACTCCTTACGATTTTAGTTCTTTGACTTAGGATGTTATAATAAAAAATTTCATTTCTTTACTTCTTGATACTTTTCATCTTTTTCTGCTATACCGATGTTCTACTATAATATTCTATTCGGTCAATGAACTCAACACATTTTTTTAATCGCAAATCACAGGTATTACGCGTTGTCAATTCTTCTTCTTCCTGTCTAGATCGCCATTAACAGGATATTTGATACACGCCCACACAGACAACTGGAGGATCGTCTTCATGCTTCATTACGGAGCCATGATATAACCCTGCACGGTTTCGATCGTAATCGATATAATCGGTATGGTCGTGAAAAAGTGACGGGAGCAAATATTATATTATCAATGCTGAGAGCATTGAACTTTAACATGTTCAAGCCGGCGCGCCTTTTTCATACGCGCCTTCTCCAGTAACATTTGCATTTTATTCCAGTTTTCATTAAATTATATTTTTACAAATTAAAATTGGAAACATGAATAGCATAAATATAGTCGTCCAGCCGTCCAGTCGTTCGAATTTTCTTACAGTTCGTAAAAATGAATCATATTTATACTAATCATTTGCCAATACGGTTTAACTAAGGTACTTACAATTCTATGTACATAATATAATATTTTTACACTATTTTGATTTGATTTGAAAAAATCTAATTTTTTCTTATACGATTTGATTTAAAACGTTTTTGTACACGTGTTACCATCGCTCGGCTTTAGTTTACGAGATATTAGCAAAAAACCTCAGTTAAATGTAGATTAAGATTACAGTACCATTCGACGTATGGAGTCATCCTTCATCTTAACATGTGAATTATTTGACCACTTAATTACTGCATTAAGTAATTAACTAGATTTCAGTTTAATGTACCGAGTTCAGTTTAGGTTATGTTGATAATTGAAAATGTAAGCCTAACTTGAACTAAAGCTGATCTAAACCTAACCTAAATCTAATTCAATTTAAAATAAATCTATTCCAAACACGAGAAATAAGATACATTCTACCTAACATATGTACTTTTGCATATAACTTACAACGTAAATCCGAATGGTGGTGGAATGATGTATAGGAAAGAATTACTAATAATAGCATCTCTGACAACATATTTCAAGATCATCGAAATCGGTGAGACGGCCCCTTTTCTACATAATTACCCATTATTTTAGTAATAAACTTGACTACACTATAATATTTAAGCTAACATTAACTAGGAAGTATGCTAAATTCTTAGAAAACATACGGATAGAGGAGTCCAACAAGGGAAAACTACTGAAATCTAACCCGATCCTAACTCAATTTGATAACATAATCCTATATATAACAATACTACAGTAATTATAATATTAATTTGTTTTTCAGAGGTTATAAGAAGTAATACAGTTTATGAGAAATATACTCTTCTAGATTTATGGCTCGAACACTGATGCGAGCGACGCAAACGTGCAACACCTAACCATTATGTTATTGTCCAAAAGAATAATGGAATGTGTTTCAATCTCTATATATAATTTACCAATGACCTCGATTATAAACAAACCGCGATAGAGACAAAACTGACGGACCAATCAGTATCTCCAAGCACAGTATCTGACGGGCACGACAATTGTTGAGAAATTTGTACGATATATCAGGACGAAAAATATATGGAAGAAAGACAGATTGGAGGTGAAGGTCATATCGCGTAAATAGTGGAG